GTCTGTCCACAACAACACTACACGTAATGTACTGCCACAGTTAGAAGAAGCCTCCAATGTAATTCATACTTATAAATTACAATGTATTCACACTTAGGACGGGTCCCCAATGTAATGACTGCATTTGTGACTCCTCCACACTGGATATCTCTGGTGCAGAGTTAACACTGGCTCTGATGTCTAGAGCGTCACAGCTCAATCAAGCAGACATGATCTCTCTTCATGGTCACACGACTTCTAACAACGGTTGACACCAGCGGCACATTTCACGAGTTTATTATCACTTTAGCACAATACACGAATCACAGGAGAATCCACTTACTGCATTCGGACAATGGACGTTGACATATTCACGACTGGCTTCAACAATCAAACAGGGTAACATAACAGCTGGCCTTCACGATCATTCATTCGTCACCGATTCAGATCCACATGCTCTCGTCATTCTCCATTCATCTTCACAGCTTCAGATGCACTTCCTTCCAGTCTGGGGCCCAGTCACCGAATGCCCGCCTGATTCTCAATCCCCCAGATCTCACCATTCACACGTGACTCACTCTTTCCTGTCGTTTCACCATATCTCCGTGAAACCCATGCTCTCAGGGACTTCCCCAATTATGCCAATCATTCCCTGACGTTATACCTATTTATAGCATCATTACAACCAGAAAGAAAAAACTGAAGACGGTTCAAACAAGAGGTAGACAGCAATACCATTATGTATTTTGTCAACATGAAAGGGATGAGGTGGACAATTTGTACCAGTCACTTTTACTTCCTAGAGCATTTCCTGCTACCTATATTAGACTTGGTCAACCTAGAAGCATATCAAACTCTCCATCCTGTTATGGATTTGAACAAAGGACTACCAGGTAAGCGGGCAAACATACTAGCCACTCTCTAACACAGCTGCTTCTTAAGAAATAACTGACGAAATATGCAAGCCACATTTTTGTCTGCGTGTCTATGTTTGTGTGTGCATGTATATATGTGTGTGTGTGGGCATTCAGATGTTTGTGTATGTTTGTGTGTGTATGCACATATGTGTGTGTGGGCATTCAGATGTGTGTGTATGTTTGTGTGTGCATGTACATATGTGTTTGTGTGTATGTTTGTGTGCATGTACATATGTGTGTGAGCCTGTGCATGCATGTATGCATGTGCGCGCGCGCGTGTGTGTGGTAAGATTCAATTTTGAAATAAAGATGGCTGTATCTCATCTGCAATAACTATTGTGTGGCAGTTTCATCAGCTGCAGGGCGTCTGATAATGTAAAGAATGAATTGAGGGTTGACAGGCTTATCTGAAACTGTTCCAACAACAGGTCACAGTGGCTTTCCATTCTGACAACATGTATGTGAAAGTCTTTAATAATTTTAGACAGGTTCATCTTGCAAGAAGTCTTTAACTATTTGGTCCCAAAGGTCACAATAGGAGACAAACTGACATTAACAAACTCACTAGTGTCCTTGAATACTGACTAAACATACAGGCCAAATACAACACAAATACACTTGTAGATTTTTTCAGAATCCTTGCACTAAATGTAACAAGTATAACTGATACAGTCACACATTACACATTGACTGGTACACGGGGAGATAATCTACTACAAATGCTGCATTGTTTGGGACAGAGAGAGTGATGGTTCTTTGGTGTTCCTTTCTACATTTTCTCCCATCTGGGCTGCTATCAGAAAATTTGACCACCACTAGGTTGCAACTACCTCAGTTTGGATGCCAAGTCAAAATGGCAAATCCCAGATACTCTGTTCAACCACCAATTAAGTTATAATGAGGGCCCTTGACTATGGATACTGGTACAGCCTGCAGTCTTGTGCAAATAAGGATGTCAACTAATTGCTTTTCTGTAGATTATTAGACACAGTCCAACCATACCTATTACATCTTTAGACACAGTAAAACCATACCTATTACATCTATAGACACAGTAAAACCATACCTATTACATCTATAGACACAGTAAAACCATACCTATTACATCTTTAGACACAGTCCAACCATAACTATTACATCTATAGACACAATAAAACCATACCTATTACATCTTTAGACACAGTCAAACCATACCTATTACATCTATAGACACAGTCAAACCATACCTATCTAAACCTAGCAGGGGCTGAGTGGTCTTAAAGTATGGTGTCCGACTTGAGTGCTGGAGGTCCTGGGTTTAAGCCCCAGTGAAGGCCTGGGATTTTTCAAGTGATTTCTAGTAATTTTCCCTTCTCTGGATAGAAAGATCGGACACCCGTGTGTATCGCTGCGCACGTAAGAAATCTCTTGGCAGTTAGAAATCAAAAAGAGTACCTAACGGCGCCGCCTGGGTAAAATTTTGGAGTTTAAAATCTACCCAAAGTATTTCAGGATCCTCGCCGGTGCAACCAAATTTATGCACTGCACTGAGAATACAAGACTCAGGCTTGAGCTAGAAGTAGAATGGAGTACTTATGGGTTATCCCCCGTGTTCCATGATGTTAATCCGTCGAATAAACATAAATATAAAACCTAGCAGTGGGTGCCATATTTAGAGTAACTATACTCATTGTGGTGAGTACCGCATCTTTTTTTTTCTTCTTTCTACCGCTATGTACTGAAATACCTATCCAATGCATCCAATGAATGAAAGTGTAGAGCTGTACTTACGTTCATCACAAAGAAGCCCTGTGTAGCCAGGCTGACATCCCTGTGTACAAGCTCCAGAAGTGTGATTACAGACAGACCCGTTTATGTCAGTATTCTCACAATGTTGTGGGCAGGTAGAGTTGCAGTCCTGGCCATAGGTTCCCCTGTCACATTCTGTGTGCAGAAAGTCATGTCATATATTCACAAAATTAGATCTCTTTCATTTTGTCAGAGTATGCAGGAGTCACACTGGTACTGAGCCACCCAACCATTCGATGGTTGAAGCTTTTTATCAATATTATGCAGCTGGTATGCTTTTTTTTTCTTACATAAATATAGTTTGTACAACTGGTTATTCAGTCTACCCATTTAGATTTTTAAATAGCTGATGGATTTCAAAGTAGAAATGGGCATAGTTGACTAAGAACATCTGAAACCCTCTGTTAGTGCCAACAATTGCACTGTCTGTTTATTTATTATATATACGCTAGACAGCGGCGCTGTTCGAAGCAGAGGCAAATTTTTTGCTTCTGCCGGACGGTGGCCGAAGTATTTTTGCTCCATTTGTAGACTGGATATAGTTTCGTCGCCCAGCTTCTGAGTTGAATGCATGGCGTGACCCTGTGAGCTGCGGATTGCATTTGGAATGTATTTTCGACTGTGACCAACGTGGTGGTGTGAATTGTAGATTCAGAAAATGGCGTGCAATGTTGGCGGTGCCCGTATCTGGTTAAAATTGATCGCGTGGACAACTGCTGAACTGTTGGCGACAAGTTCTGCTATCATCAATGATGAACTGCATTTCTAATGTTGAACTGTTTGTGTTAGCACTTCGGGTGGCTACCGTATGCTTTAATGCGAGTGTATGCTAGATATGCTGAGACAGCAGTCTGTCAGTCTTTCCACAAGGGACTGTAATAAACATTCTGGGTCTTTTTCGTTGGCACAGGAGCGGAGCAAAGATGGGGCGACCTGTTGCTATGAAGCTGAAAATAAGACTACCAGACTACCAGACAATGATGATGATGTGTGAAATAAATAAATGGCAACCTACGTTGGTTACACTTGGGTAGCTGATATCCAGCCTGGCATCCATAAAGACATCTACCATCAGTATGATCACAGGCAGACTCACTGATGTTCCCTGATACACAGAACTGAGAGCAGTAGGAGCTGCAGTCTGTTCCATAAGTTCCATGGTCACATGCTAAAGGATGTTGAAAGGTAAACCTAATTATTGATTGCCACTCGTTTAATGCGGAAGTCAAGGAGAAACTACTATATTGTATAAGTTAATTAATAATTACAAAAGCTAGACTGATGGTGGAGTGACTTCAAAAATCAATCTATCGCAGACTTTGGACTAAATTAGTTAACTTCACATGGACTCTGGTCCATGCAGTGGGCTAGCCTAAGGCCACCTTCTGGTCTGGTGGACATATGTTCTTAACTTCCCTGAGGTAGATTTTTTGTTTTGTAAAAATTGTAAAAATTATGTTGTTGTGTGTTACTACAGTAAAGCGAATTTCATACAGTAGTTCCTATAACAGGGTATCAAGATCCAACCAACATATCCAGAGAACAATGATTCAGATGTCAACTCACACTCATCACACATGGATCCTAAGTAGCCAGCCTGACAACCCAGTAGACAGGTCCCATGGATGTGATCACACACAGACTGACTCATGTACCCAACCTCACAGAACTGAGAGCACACAGAGCTGCAGTCTTGTCCATATCTTTGACCACTGCAGGCTGAAAGCAGATGAAAACTTGACCTTCCTTGACATGAATTAGCAAAAACAACACTGTCCACTCTTAAAGGAGGAGACGTCAGAATTTGTGGTGGATTTGTTTTTCCAATGAGCTCATAATGGGCTGATTATGAAAACAAGTAATAGAGGTTAATCATTTTTTCCATTTATCTAAAGATGTAATTGCATTGCTCCTGTTTAAAGCATGGCTGCGATATTTGCGCCTTTTGGCACGGTAACTATAGCTTTCGATTTTTATGTTGTCTAGTTTTTCATGTCTTTCTACTTCTTTCTATTAGTGTCGATCAATATATTGCCTGTTAATTTATTATATAAATATGGTCTCATTGGGTAAAGATATAATGATGATGATGACAACGATGTGTGAAGTAAATAAATGGCAACATACGCTGATCACACTCTGGTCCCTGATATCCAACCTGGCATCCATAAAGACATCTACCACAGTATGATCACAGGCAGACTCACTGATGTCCCCTGTCAGACAGAACTCAATGCAGGAGGAATTGCAGTCTGCTCCATAAGTTCCATGGTGACATGCTAAAGGATGTTGAAAGGTAAACCTAATTATTGCTTGCCACTTGTTTCTTGCGGAAGTCAAGGAGAAACTACTACATTGTATAAGTTTATGGGTAATTACAAAAGCTAGACTGATGGTGGAGTGACTTTAAAAATGAGTCTATTGCAGACTTTGTAATAAATTAGTAAGCATCACACAGACTCTGGGAGTCTTGAATATGCAATGGGCTATAGGTTTGTCTTCTGGCCTAGTGGACATATGTTTTTAACTTCTCCAAGGCAGATTTTTTTAAAACTGACTAGGGCTTTTGGACTTTGGTCTTGATCCGGAAATTGAGTTTAGCATGCACATCCATTTTACGGATGTGGCTTTTACTGTATGCAGACTGCCTCTCAGGCAGATGCACTCTGACTTTGAAGGAAACATCCCCTAATTAATCATCTGTAACAAAATGCCTATTAGAAAGACAATAGGCCTATTCCTTGTTCTCTAAAATATGGCCCCATATGTTTGTGTGTGTTTGCGTGCGTGCGTGCGTGCGTGTGTGTGTGTGTGTGCGCGCGCGCGTGTGTGCGTGTGTGTGTGACTACAATAAAGTGAATTTCATTCAGCAGTTTACACAACAGGATCCAACCAACATATTCAGACAGAAAATAATGATACAGTTGTTAACTCACACTCATCACACATGGATCCTAAGTAGCCAGCCTGACAACCTAGCAGACAGGTCCCATGGATGTGATCACACACAGACTGACTCAGGTTCCCAACCTCACAGAACTGAGGGCACACAGAGATGCAGTCTTGTCCATATCTTTGACCACTGCAGGCTGAAAGTACACACAAACTTGAACTTCCTTGACATAAATCAGCAACCATAATACTGTCAACTTTAAAAAAACGTGTGGCGGATTTTCAATAAGCTTCTAATGGGCCAATTATGAAAACAAATAACGGATGGTAATCTTCTTTTGCATGTATCTGAAGATATAATTGCACTGTGCCTGTTCACAGCATAGCTGCAATATTTATGCCTTTCAGACAACAAGTCTTGACTTCTGCAGGCATTTGTTGACCAGGAAAGCCTTCTTGGAGATGTGACATAATGCTTATACTACTGTCTGAAAGTGGATAGTTCTGACACAGATGATCTTCCATGCCAGGATTTCAAACTGTCCAGCTTCTTCTCTCGTGGTCTTCCTCTGCCTAGCGCGACTACATGTTCTGTTTTCACGGGGACAGTTCTGTTTTTTTCCATGTGTCCCGGCCGTTCCGTCGGTACTTCCAAAAAACCTCAGTTGTCCCTTAAATAAACATTTATGATAACATTATAACACTGAGCCGGGTGTGCAGAGAGTGGCCAGCGGGTGCTACGGAGGTTGAAGTCCAACAGTTGATTCACGACAATTCACGCCCAGTTGATCTGACTCACAGAGGGTTCAATGCTGAGAGTAAAGAAAAGTGCCTGGGGGTTTGTAATGAAAGCCAATGGAAAATCTTCAGTGCAAGACAGCCTAGCATATGTCACCACAACATCTAGCATGAGAATGGAGTTGGAGGCGGTAACTGCAGTTCTCCAATGGCTAGAGAACAAGATGCATACACATGTCGTAATTGTAAATTCTCTGAAAGCATGCTGAAAAAGGTGACGACAGGGATGCTTCGGGCAGAGTGGCAAGCTTCACTGGAGAGGTCACGGGTGGTGAGCATACTTTGGATCTTTTCTCTAAGCAATGCCGGCGTGGTGGGTAATGAACAGGTAGACAGATTTGCAGGATCTTCACCGCTGCGTGGTGAACTGATACAAGACAAGACAGACGTGGTCAAGTCCCTTTGGGAACAAGAAACTGAATCAGTAGAGGAAGAAGATTATTATGGCCTGGAGAGAATGAGGCTCTTGAGTGTAACCAGAGGGTCTGGCCGGCTCACTGCACTCAGAGGAAAGGCAAGACAGACATTTAACCAGATTTTGACCAGTACCATCAGTATTGGAACTCTACGCTGGCTGCTGAAGATGAGGACGGAGCATGCATGGCAATGCCCCGAGTGATGTGATGTCAATTCTGGACTCATCCTAACTCATAAAAATCTATGAATAAGCTTGAGAATAGAATATACACTCATAGTTATATTCACAAATACCAATTGCAAAGGAAAATATATAGACTATACAATAAATTAAGGGAACTAGTTAAAAACAAGGCATGCAGTCCAACAAGAAAGAAAATTATAATAATTTTTCGGTGTCGCTTATACAATTTATAGGTCCATATAATATTCTGTTTTCAAAATGTTTTAGTTCCCTACTGATTAGTAATAAAAATAACAATACTATAATAATTATAATAAATGCTATAAGTGGGAGAAGGAGGTTGGTGGGGGGGGGGGGGGTGAGAACTGACATGTCTAGGTTATTCTGTTTTCAGCTTAACATATGAGATATCCCATTTTCAGCTCTAGATAGTTTGGTCACCATGGCGCGGTGATTTATGTCACAGGCGTGAGGGGAAGTTAAGTCCAACATGATGTGTATAAGGAGATACTCCGTACGTCACTCGGGCGCCAGTCCTTTAATATCCTGGTTGTACGGAACCTCACGCAAGACCCCGGCAGCACGTCCTCGTCGTGCGCCACGGATAATGTCTCAAATGAGCATTAACAGAGCTGTCAGGGGATCTCGGAGTTTTGGCGGCCCCCAGAGGTGATGTGTCCTTGTGGCTCTCATCAGCCCGCCCCCAAACGCTTGGGTGAAAAATGTTATTATAACTCATTAGGAACATGAGTAGGTCTGCCAAACGTACAGCCAAAATTACAACCCTTGGTTAAAAGACTGCGGAGTAAAGAGAACATTGTTCACTGCACATCCTCTGTTAACTCTCAGTGTCGTCGTCATCGCGCTGGGGTACACCACAACAGCAACCATCCATAGGCTGGCCATTCATGTACATCCTTGGTTAACCCTCAGTGTCGTCGTCACCGCGCTGTGGTACACCATAACAGCAACCATCCATCGGATGGCTAAGCCTAAATGTCCGACAAAACTAGATCATACGGATCAAAATCTGCCCTCAAAATTTGTATTGAACTGAAAAAGACCGAATGTCCACACCCAAAGACCCCACTCGCCCGAGTGTTGGGACAAAACTGATACGATATGCCTGGAGCAGGATGTAAAATTCTGTCAGGCTAACGGCTCGTCAAAGAAATCTAACGTGCGAAGAAAAAAAGAATGTACCTATCTGTGTGGTCACAAAAGTCCAAAACCCACGGGCTGCTCCCCGCTGACTTCCAGAGGGCGCAGCCCCTGTCGAGCGGGAGGCCTGATACGGTTGTGAGGTTAAGCAGGCATGCGCAGGACGTGACGATTCCTTGGGTGAGCCCAGAACCAGAGCGCCATGTGCCGGCTCTGCATACATGGATGCCTCCTTGGATGGCGGGGAATGCCCATGATCTGCCCCTGCCTTCCCTTGAGGGCTAACTGCTCCACAGTGGGCTGACCCAAAGGGGTACTCCGGGGGCAATACCTGCGGCAAAGGAGACAATATGGACACCACACAAATCAGGCAACGTCTCGACCCACACAAAACAATGGCCACAGTCACCCTAGAAATAGGCCTGACGTCTTCCTTCGAAGTCGGCGTACAGCTGCCCATGAGGAAGGGAAATGAAAAACGGTTGTACACGCAAAAATCAGGTCCAGGTGAAAGCCAAAAGTCCAAGCGGACGATTACCTGACCTTCCACTGGAATTCACAGCCGGTGTTCGATGAAAAAAAAAAAAAAAAAGAAGTTTGGTCACCCTGCCTCTGCCTCTTTTCCCTTCCAGCGTTCTCACCGTCATGATGCACTCCAGTTTTCTCACCGTCATGATGCACTCCAGTTTTCTCACCGTCATGATGCACTCCAGTTTTCTCACCGTCATGATGCACTCCAGTTTTCCCACCGTTATGATGCACTCCAGTTTTCTCACCGTCATGATGCACTCCAGTTTTCTCACCGTCATGATGCACTCCAGTTTTCTCACCGTCATGATGCACTCCAGTTTTCCCACCGTCATGATGCACTCCAGTTTTCTCACCGTCATGATGCACTCTAGTTTTCTCACCGTCATGATGCACTCCAGTTTTCTCACCGTCATGATGCACTCCAGTTTTCTCACCGTCATGATACACTCCAGTTTTCTCACCGTCATGATGCACTCCAGTTTTCTCACCGTCATGATGCACTCCAGTTTTCTCACCGTCATGATGCACTCCAGTTTTCTCACCGTCATGATGCACTCCAGCGTTCTCACCGTCATGATGCACTCCAGTTTTCTCACCGTCATGATGCACTCCAGTTTTCTCACTGTCATGATGCACTCCAGTTTTCTCACTGTCATGATGCACTCCAGTTTTCTCACTGTCATGATGCACTCCAGTTTTCTCACTGTCATGATGCACTCCAGTTTTCTCACCGTCATGATGCACTCCAGATTTCTCCTTCTCATGACATGAGCTACAAATGTAGATTGTCTCCTTTTAAAGTAGGCAAACAGTTCTCTTTGTAAGCCATTTTCTTCCAAGACATCATCAATACTTTACTTTCAAACACAAATCTGTCCAGTGTATCATCATTTGTGCACAAAACCACATGTCCGCCACCTCAGCTGATACTATCACATTTATATATAATCTCCGCAAGGCATTCCACGAGGAGGAAGAGGACGAGGAGGAGGAGGAGCAGCAGCAGCAGATGAGGAAGAAAAAGAAGAAAAAGTATGACCAACACAAGTGCATACATAATAATTTCTCCCCTGTGTGGGTTCCGGGGCCCCATTGTGGGGAAAACAAGAATAGACCCACTGCCTCCGCAAAAGCATGTCGTAAGAGTCGACTAATTGGGAAGCTTCCTTTGAAGTCGGAGTACATCTGCCGGAGAGGCAAGGAACCAACAGTCTGTATTCAAGAGAATGAGATCTGTAAAACTGATGCACACGCAACACTCAGGTTCTGGAGCAGGACTGCAGTTCAGTAGTGGACGAGCAACCAGAACTTGGTGAATGCAAAGAAGAAGAAAATAATAATTTCTGTCCGACTGTCACTGGCCGAATCTCCAGGACATCCGCCCGCTTCCATATACTTAAGACAACTTTCGGTTCGGGTCGTAGTCAGCCTGCGGGCTGCCTACCACCCTCTGAGGGGAGAGACACACGCACGCACACGCACAAAAACACCCACATGTTCCGTCCGTCCCTCCTCTCCCTACTGAGTTCGCCCCTGGACCTCAGCGGGTTAAAGTCGTGGGGTTACCTATACAGTTGACGACAGTAATTATGCCGCACTTTGTCGATGGAATGACCAGGTGAGCGGCTCTTTGACTGGACACGATCAGTGTCGTAACGTACCGCCGCTGTTTGACCCGGCCAGTCAAACACGGACACCTTTTTCAGAGGGCATTGGAGATATGGTTCCGACAGAAATGATAGTTAACAGCCTACTCAAAAACTTGTCGTAAGATTCGACTAAATTGGAGCTCTCTCCGAAGTCGGAGTGAATCTGAGAGCAAAAAACTAACAGTCTGCACACAATTGAGTCAGATCTGTCTGGCGTGAACATCACAACAGAAAATGGACGAGCATTGTCACCGTCACCAACCACCTGTTAACTGCATTTTCTCATTGTGTAGAGATGATATGTTTGCAAAGATGCCACTTTACTCCAAAAGGTAATGTCAACAAAAACGCATTCGCTCCATCTGTGCTAGACTCTGCGAGGGACTGGTTACTGGCGGTTGATCTGCCAGGACATGAACGGTATCCCGAGTTGATCCGTAAAACCGGCCTGCGACCG